TTGACAGTGTCTCCTAGTAACATTTAATAGTATCCATATGGATTATAACCATAACTGTAAGGATTATATCCAGTATAACCGCCATAACCGCCGTGATTATGATAATGGTATGGTGATGGATAACCATAACCACCATACATGATGTCAGGTTGGCGACCAATAATGTTATCACCATTGAAATCAATATGTGTAGCTTTCTCTATCCGACTCATAAAACCTAAGAAAATTAGAAAGGTGGATTTTTAAAATGTATATTTAAGTCTTACCTTGTCCTCCAACATATCCATCCCCATTTAAATCCATACCAAGACTGCGTTCAATACGATTATTTATAAAATCTATTTACAAAACAAAATCAAATATGAATAGATCAAAAAAAATTTAAAAACTACTTACTGCTCATGATAAGTATGTACTAGTTAATTTAAAAAGTATAAATGAAATATGTAATATATCTGCTTTCGATTGTGTATTACTTATATAGCCGTTTATGTATCCTTGTAAACAAAGCTGATTCTTTTACCTGACGTCAAACAATGACGTTTGCTGAATAATATCGATGACTCTTATCTACGTATATCGGTTTTATATTTGAATCTAACAACAAGGTATTTGAGTACGACGTATTGTTTTACCAATCAGATTTTTTTACGCTTGAAATGAAAGTCAGGTCTTTTTTCGTCTAGGTAAATGATAAAATTAGATGATATTTAATGACGTTATTAAAGCAATAACAATAAAAACTGATGAATATTTGATGATATGTAATTAAATGAAATCAATATGTGATCACATTAAAATATTTTTGAGCAATAACTTCTCGAAAGTTCGATATTTTTAATATTAATAACAATCATAATGCTTAGTGTCTTGAGATTCAACAAAAACGAACACAACTATAAATATCTCAAATAATATTAAAAATCAATAGGTCGTATGATTTAACTTATATGTAAATCATTCAATTAGAATACATTTAATAATTTAGATACTATGAAAATATATGTAATATTTACAAAATTAATACACTAAAAATTTTCGTAGTAAATATCTTCTTATTGTGAGCATGAATACTTTTGTTCTTAGGACTCTGTTAATTTAACGTTTCTAACATGTCCTTTTGATCTTGTCCTACTTTTTCTCATCGGTTTATTAGGCACGGTGAATAAGTACATTCTATAAGAAAAAGAAACAATATGAAAGCACTTTTTTCTCTAAGAAGATAAAAGTCTTTTAATTTAAAATATTTACATAAGACCTGAATAAATAATAACACATTTAGCTAGTATTTATATGAATACCGATTTTTTTCTCCTTCATTTCAAAGCAAACTATGATTACACTTTATTTTCTATGATAATAGTAGTTAAAAATAGCATCATATTTCCATTAAACAAATTATACGCTTGATATTCGTTTAAATATCCCAGAAAGGTAAAAACATAATAATAACCCACGTCATAAAGAAATAGAAAACTTCCATGATTAATTTAATTTTGATAGTTTGTCATATTACAAATGTAAAATTTATCATCATCGGTTTGTATTACTATTATATCATGATTTAATAATACTGCATCAGTAATATCATTTGACATTGATCTATCAACAAAGAAATTTACTTCATCACTATTTTTTAAACATTCAATTTTCATCATAATTCTTTTCTTTTTCATTAGATTCATTCTAATATTCCATTTATTAAATATTGAATATCCGGTAAATATCCATAAACAATCAAACTGAATCGATGATATTGATAAATAATGTAAATATTGCATAGTTTGAGAATGAAAAAAATAAATGACTTTTTCTTTTTGTTTAGTATGAAAATTTGTTTTACATGTCAAAACAGCAATAATTTCTTCATCATATAAACAATGTAGTTTCTCAATTATTTTTTCATTATCTTCATGTAATTTCCAAGACGAAATATATTTTAAATCAAATATATGATATATTTCAATCACTTTTCCTGTTGTTAAATATAAATACGATTGATTACTAGTGCAAGCACAATACGAATCTTGTTTACAAATATCATGTAATTGATATGTATCTTTATTAACTGTATATAAATTTGAAGATGTTAGAATAAGAAAAGAATTTAATGTTGTTGACCAACAACTATCAATTATTTTCGATAATGAGTTTAATTTCCATTCAATATATTTAATTATATTTAAATTTTTATCAACAATATAAATACTTTCATCATCTTGTATTAATAAATGGAAAAACTTATTTCCGGATAGTATAGATGAATGTAAAAGAAATTGTTTTGTTTGTTTAATAGATTGATTTTTAGTTAAAAATAATTTACATTTTTGATTTAAGAAGTTAAATGTTTGATTAAAATCGTGTAATTGTTCTGTTGTTATATATTTATCATGAATTAATAATAATAAATTATTTTTTATTTCATCAATTAGTTTTTGTTTTAAAAGGCTGTGTAATTGACGTTCAATTAATAAATTAAATCTATCTGCCAGATAATCTAATTGTTTAATGTAGAGTTCTCGAAGTGGAATATCTTCTTCGGTATCATTGTAAGGAGAATAATAATACTTTGCAAATTATATCAGTAATGAACCGCTTGGTGGAAAGAAGGTATGTTTAAGTACAAATTTTTTTTAATGCTAACAAGATCTAGTTATCGCATTAGAATATGAATTTATATGAAAAACAATAAAAATACACTAAAATATTTTAATTAAATAAATACTTCATTTTATTTATTTGTTGTTGAAATATTTCTCTTACATTAATACAAACTGACGAACAAAATATATCACAGAAAAGAGAAAAAAAAATTATAAGAATAAAAAATGTTTTGAAAGATTTTGATTCTTTTGTGTCAGAACATTTTTTTCATTATTTGTTTGACTTTTTTTTGATACAACTAATGGTTCTTTATGATCACGTTTACGTCTAAAAATAAATTTATATTTACATAAAAATTTCAAAAAAAAGAAAATTTCTTCTTACCGAAATAATGTACTACTTAATGTCAAACATATAATCGGATTTGAACAACTATTTAAATTCAATAAAAGACTAAAAATAGTCATCAACCAGTTCATTGTTTTCTGTGATAAAAATTTTCCATTTACAGCCATTACAATCGATCCTATATAAAATGGTGTTGAACAAAGTATATAAGCAAGAACAACAATAAATGTTAATTTAATTGTTTTAAGACGTGCTCGCGATAAAAAATGACTTGCACCATAACGTGGTTGAACTTTTGGTCTATCTAAACTAATTGAACTATAATGTGGTGATGGTGGTACTTCAATTGATGAACGTCGTAAACGAAATACAACTGGATACATAACTGATGGAGGAGGTCGTTTATTAAATATCACAGTTGATACACTTGAACATTCAACAGATGGATAATGAATATGTATATGATTTTTACGAATTGATTTTAAATTTCGATCTAATGTAATTATTGATGATGATAAATTACTTAAATTTTTTGGTATATTAATTGCAGGTAAATTTGCCATACTCATTGTTCGAGCATTATCAGATAAACGATACATTGAAAAATTTCGATTTACAATTAAATAAACTGAACCATAGCAATATAATAATACACATATAGGCAAAAAGAATTGAACAACTATTGTCCATACAATATAAGCTAATTCCCATGTTTTATCTGTTCCAAGAAATTTAGCTCGACATCCTTTAATTTTATTTATTGGATCGTATTCAGAACGAAATATAAATAATTGTGGTAATGCAAGAATAATACTTAAACACCATACAGCAATCATATAGAAAAGACCTGTATGTGATGTCCAAGTATATGTTGATAATGGATGAACAATTGCTTGATAACGATCAATCGTCATGACAACAAGACTAAAACGATAATAAAATAAATTATTTATTCAGTTTATACTGAATTCTCTTTTTAAAAAAACTTAAAATATTTCAAAGAAGTTTTTCTTTAATTATCTATTCACATAGCGTGATTGTATGGTTAAGTATTTCTTTTTAGTGCAAATATTTAAATCGTATAATTAATTTAAAGTACAATATGACATTGAATGGTTAAAAACTTACGTATAAACAGAAATATATGTTGAGAATAACATAAGAAACGTCACAAGTCGACATATGATATCACCGTCGAAAAATGTTGGCATCGTTTTCCATATAAACATCGGTAGAACACTGAAAATGGCAACAAGTAAATCAGCTATTGTTAAATGAAGTATAAAAAAAGCCATTCGTGTTGTTCGTCGATTTCTTTTTGTTAACATAACAATTAATACTAGAATATTACCAATTAATGCTGAGATAAACATAGTTGTTAAAACGATTTGTTCAACTAATCTTAATTGTTGATCAAAAAGTATTGGTGTATGAGAACTATTGTTATTATTCGTTATATTCATTTTAATAAGTTAACAATAATAAATTGTTAGAACATATATCAATGAAGATTATTTTATCTAGAAAAAAAAGAAGCTTTGTCTTTGTAAACTCAGACGAACGATTAGATCATATACAATTAAATGGATGATTACATACTGATCAAAAGCAGACATTTGTTTTTCAAACTACTAAAAATTTTTCATTCTCATATGACGCATAGCTAGTCTCTACTTATATAGTTTATAATAATAAGAATAACAAAAATGAAGAAAACTCATCTGTTTGTTATAAAAGATATATATCACCGGTATATATATATACTTATTATTATATACTGTTTGATTATAGCTTTAGTTAATTTTTTTTCTCTATACTTTCTTTTCGCGTGTTATATGTTTAGTGAAACTAGTTAGCTTCCTGAGTGTACACGTAACGGAAGTACACTTCGTCATTCATCATGTTGGTAGTTAAGCATTCATCATTAGATCTATGTTAAAAGAAAGGTATAAGGAATAGAAAAAGTATTGCGTCGATTTGTCACGTAATACTATCATCGATGCTTCTTCCTACACCTACTACAAATTATTATTATCCTTTATGATTCAATTTACATCAACAAATCCCACTAAATAAATATAAAATAATTAGAGTAAAATATATGTTACCTTTCGAATGCGTTGAAATTCGTGGGCGGAGAAATCTTTCACTAACCAAAATAGGAAACTACATGTTCTAAAACTTATTGAAAGAACATTAAACAATACAATATACCGTCTCTGTTATGATGCATTAATCAATGAAAAGAAAAGAATTCGATACACTACATATTCTTACTTTATTTAATTTTTATATTCTAATTAGAAAATAAAGTAATGATGTCTAATCTTAAGGAAAAGTAATCCTAACGACATGATAAAAAGAACTATGTCATACTCTATATGCAGCGTTCATATCTTATTAAAATTGTTTTTGAAACTGAAAGACAATATTCTGAAGAAGTTCTCTTCTCTAAGAGAAGAATAGATTGCATGTCAAAATGAACTTTTTAAGATGACTAGAAATCAAAGTCTCTGAAGTTTAGTCCTTTAAAAATAAAAATATTGTCTGCTGCTTATTTCTATTGTCGAGACAATTTAATGTACGCAATTTCTTTACGTTAACAAATTCCAGAAACGAACTCAATGCATGAATAATCTCTTATCGTCATCAAAACATGAATTTATTCTTTCATAAAATAAATTATTACATATTCTTTCAGCATCAATGCGTTTTTTTAGTAATAGCAATAACAAATACTGTAAGAATTTTTCTTATCCATTAAAATTGCTAGTATAATATTGCATAATATCGACTAAGAAGTATATTCATACGACGCTTGACATAAAACACCATTTTAATTAATATATATATATATATGTGTGTGTCATATGACAGAACACATTTTGTTCTACGAATGTAGTCAAAAAGTATCGTATTTTTACAAGAATTATTTATTATGTTATATGGAAATACTAAACGTTGAGATATAACAAGTAGAAATATGTTAAGATGGTGAAAAATAATAATGTAAAGGAAATCACGTGAGATTACTCCGTGTTTACTATTCGTTTTTTGTTGATATTGTATCGAACAAATGTTGTAGAAAAGAAATTAACATTTTATTATTTTCCAACTATGAGTTATAATCGACGAGTTTTACAAAATCTTGAGGGATTTTTTTCTTACCAGGGGATTATTTACTTACTTTTAAATTAATGAGCATTATGTATACGACCTAGATTGTAGCTACCATTTATAAGGTTATAAGTTCCTGCGATAAAAAATTTAATTATAGATTCATGCGCTTGAGAATATTTTATTTCTTAATAATAATATATGTTAAGGAAATTGTAATTAAAAGACAAAGATTATTAATTAAACCAATGAGAGTAGTCATATGACTATAAATTAATTTATCATACTGAAACAAGTATTTAAACTTCGTGTTTAATGGGATATCTAAGCTTTATTATTCATAACTATTAGACATTCAAATACTTGTATAAGAAGTATGCTGTTTTTAATGATAATTTTTTCTATCGAATTAAATACAAGATAAGTTAAACATCTAAAGTTTTAATCTACTTATGATTCAAAGAATTATAAAATAATGTTCTATTGTATGAACCTACCTGTTGAAATAGATCTTTTAGTAATTATCGATGTATTTCAATACCTTATTGTGAATCAAAATTGCTTTTATTTTAATAACAATCCTATTCTCGAGGTAAACTCTACAAATTTCATTTGTTTTGACTCTTGTATCAGATATCAACAAACGTTTATGAATTCTTTTTATAAGGATGTCTCATTCGACTGCTGTCAAAGCAAACTGTAGGCGTTTCATCTGTTTTAACTCCTTTGTTAAATATCAGCAAACGTTTGTTAATAGTTTTAGAACATTTTCTCAATCAACTGCTGTCAAAACAAACTATATATGAGTAAGAAACTAAATATGCTTGAAATCAGATTTTTAACCCACATTATTTTTCAATCAAATCTAAAAATAAAAGTGAATAATGAGCTTTTGGATAAGGATATTAATTTAGTTATGATTGTAAAACAGCGTAATTGAAAAAAAGTATATTACGCTTAGAGTATCCGTATTCTCCATAAGATGATCATCTCCTGAATCCCCTATTAATGTTATTACGTTAGAATTCATTTATTTTCTAAATGATAGTTAACCTTAATGGATATAAATATGAGCGTATTTTATCTATTCGATTAATTAAAAATAAATTCATGTGGTGTCATTTTTGAAATCATTATCAAGAAAATCAAGATCTTTTTTCATTTCGAATAATATTTTGAATGATGGGAAAAATACCTCATAGTTTTGATATTAAATCTATTATATGTTTTTTACCTTTGGTAAATATCCTAATAAACGATGAGCATGTTCATGAAGTAATTTAATACATTCGATTTCAACATATTCATCAATTTCACGCTGATACTTAAGTAAAAATAAATAATTCTATTGAAATCTTAACTGAATACAAACTTTTTCAGTTATCATTTTATGTCGGCGTTCTTCAAGTAGAATATTAATACTATTAGAGGAAAAGCAAGTATATATATATTGAATCTAATTATTCTTTATATATATATATATCTACTTTTTTCTTATTTTAAAACGAAAAAAATTTTTTTAAATAAATTGTTTGTTGGTTTCAAGCAAATCTAAAAACTTTTTTTTAATTTCTCTACCGGCTTCTGTTTATTTTAAAACAAACGTCATCAGGATAATAACAAAAAACTTTTTTCGGCAACCCAGGTCGAACAATCCGGCACGAAAACGGCGAGTTCCCTCAGGGATTTCGCCGGGAATTTATGGAATCCTGCTTCAGGAACCATCGTCCTGGGTAATTTCTACTTGACCAGTTAAAAACGAATTTGTTGGAATGAGTGATAAGCATCTATGTATATTTTCCAAATTGAAAGCATCGAGTGTTTTTCTTATCATATCAATTTCCTTTTGACTCCTAATCCAAGTAAAATGTTCTTCATCTGAATATTTCATATTAAATTCCATATACGCTGCAAGTAATTTATTGTCAATTATGTGGAAATTCAATTCCAGTTTTCCTTGTTTGATCAACGAATCATATTCGAATCCAATATAAGGTACTTCAGGAAGTGCAGTGTCATCTATTAAAAAAATAATTCAAAGAAAAAATTACTTATTACTTTCTTCAAATTTTTATTTTCAAATGAAGAACATCAACAAACTTTATGAAGCAAATATAATTTAAAAATTAATCTTTTCTTCAAACAGAATTGCTACTTTAATGCTCATGGGAAAGTAAAAAATTATTTTAACTTTTACAACTACATCCTCATCTTCATTCGTCTTAATCATTATACGTACCAAGAGCAGCTTCATCTCCTCCATCAGTTGAACAAACAAATGTAACTGGCTTTATCACTGTTCCCAGGTCAAACAATGCGGCACGAAAACGGCCGGTTGCGTGATATTCAGGAGATTTTATGGAAGCAGTATTCCCATTGAACAGATCCGGTAACCGAATTTATCTAGTTTAGGTCGGAACCGACAGGAACATGTCAAAACCGGCAGTCGGATATGGCTACCTCACTTCTCCATCGGATTTCTACCATTTTCCGGGCGGGTTCCACCCAGAAATGGCGAGTTTCCTCAGGGATTTAGCCGGAGATTCATGGAATCCTGCTTCAGGAACCATCGTCCTGGGTTGTATGATAAACAAGTTTTTCATAGAAGCACAGCAATTCGGTGTTATTGAATGATTTAATTTCATTATGTAATGAATGATATGGTTTCATCAAAAGAAAAAATGCATTTCGTTCAGCCGATTTACTTTTGTTTGTACCACCTCCGACAAATAATCTCAATTCCTGAAGATCTTGTATCTTCAGTTACATGAAGACCATCCTTATGCTGTGCACAGAAAATACATGGATAGTTGGAGCTGAAACCAACAAGTTCAAAAACGTACACTGCGTTCATGAAATCACCACCTAGTCGAATACGAATACGTATGTTTTTTATACCTATAGTGATGTACTTCACAGACTTAATATCATTTAATTAATTTCATTAATGGATAATAATTTAAGAATAAATACTATAGATTTAACAGCAGCAAAAGAACTAACCATTGTAATAAATTTATTAAATATATTTAATAGTCATAAATTTATTTAATATTTAAAAAGTCGGCATGTTTCGCTAACTCAGTAGCATTATCAAGACATAAGAAATTTGACAGAAAAAAAAATGACAATATATAGTTAACACAAAAACAATGACGTCATAATCGAGAATATTCAAGTGATTCTAACAAATAGAAAACACCAGAATACCACTACTGACGACATATATTGTTATGTGCTTATCAGGACATAACAATATATGTGGATGTGGGTGTGAGATAAAAACAATACACACACCCCACACCCACCCTACCTATAATATCAGCTGTTGATTTGGGGGTTATCG